ATTTCCCTGATGGCTAAGGATGTTGAGCACTTTCTCGTGTGTTTTCGTATATACGTATTAACTGAGTTTTTTGCTACTTAGGTTGTTAACATTCCCCGAATATTCATGGAAAAATCTAATGAGAACCTCATTATCAGGTATGAGAAACTGTCCTTCAAATCATAACTAGGGGTAATGCAAGTCTCAGAACTATGTGTTTATAGCTGAGGGTTCTCTAGAGTAATAGAACTTATGGAATGAATCTCTGTTTCTCTCAGTGTATCTTTCTGGCTCTGGTTCTCTCTCTCTCTCTCTCTCTCTCTCTCTCTCTCTCTGTATGTATGTATGTATGTATATATGATCAATATTTCTATTTGTTCTTTTTTAGACTACTGTTGGTAATATTAGGAAGTTTAATATGGAAGGCACTACCAATAGATGGCCAGACATAGACAAAAATATACATTTTGTTTTTGTCTGCTTTTAGTCTAATATACCTACTTCTAAACTGGTCTTTTTTGCATCATTTTAATTAGAAAGTGTCAAATTATTTATGTTTCTCCTCATATTCTATCCTTTTTTTGTGCCAACTTCTGACACCATATTGTAGGTGGAATATGTCCTAACCATGCTGAAATTACTTTAACTTAATTACATGGCAATCACTTTTATTCTTCTAAATCACTGATTTATTTTTAGTTTTGGGCTTTTTGTTTTGTTTTGTTTTTTAATGTATTGATAGAACCATAGGAGAAGATAAATTTCATTCTCCAATCAATGCACATAATCCCGTCATTTTTGGTAATACAGTCTTTGTGAACACACTGTTGGGAAGAAAGATTAATATTTATTATTAGACAATGTATTTATTGCTGCCTTCAATTTAAAAGAATCAACAAACAGCCTCCATTTCATCAAGATGATTTCAGTATTTTTCCCACTACTTGAAAAAAGGTGGGTTGACATACTAAATACATGTAGATTATATTTAAACTCTTAGGGGAATGTTTTGACAAAAATACTAAATGTTATTGTGTTAAAAATACATTGGAACCTGATAGAAATGGTTCCCAATTACTCCAAATAGTCATGATTGAAAAGTTTCTACACCTCCATAATCCTCTCCATCGATGCAACAATTTAAGTCAAGCCAAATTAGAAAAAGCCCATGTTTAAGGAATACAATGCTCCCAGGTGGCCTTCCAGCCCCCAGAGAGGAGTGGGAAAAGGGAAACTGGAAAAACCACCAGTCTGTTTCCTGAGGGGCAGTTTAAATACCCTGTGGGAGTGGTCTTGAGTATCCCTGGGGGAAGTGTCATCATTTGGTGGGCTTTCTGAGATGTAACAGGGTTGGGAGGGAGATATGTTGGGTGGAACCTCCTCCATAACATCCCAGACTCTTTGGGTATATGGATGCCAGGGGCTGGGGCAAAGCTTTCACCATAACATCCCAGACTCTTTGGGTATATGGATGCTGGTTCATGTCTAGCTTCTTCCTGCTGACAAGGGAAGACGTGGGGGAGAGGGAATCAGGAGTCAGTGGGATCACACTCAGCAGGAGCTGTAAATGAAGAAGCATTTGGTTAGCTGCCATCCTGTAGACCTCAGGCACCTGTTCTTTGAGGATGCAGAGAAGGCAGGTTGCTAGGAGAGAAAATAGATTGCTATCATTGGCCCCAAGAATGGGGCTAGCCATGGGAAGGGTGATAACTGCCACAGTGAGGGGAATGGAGAAGTGTCCTGGTTGTACAGAAGAGGAGGGGTGAATGAGTGAGACTGGAGAGCAGATGTGTCCCTCATTGGGACATCTTGGAAAACTGGAGGGTGGAGAGTCCCAGCTGCTGGACAGACCAAGTATCCTGAAGAGGCGTCCACTTAAGACTTGAGAGGTGGTGCCAATGATGAAGTCCCAGGAGCTGGTGCAGGTGCTGGCGTTATCTGGCGGATCCTCTGTGGGTTGACCTTGGCCCAGGCAGGTGGAGTGCCACCTGCAAGATATGCTTGAAAATGGGTGAGGTAAAAATGGGTTCTGGAGACTGTTTTTATCAGACCAGATTTCTTGATATAGAAGGAGAACTTCTCCCAAGAAATTGCAGGTATCTGTAAGACAGCTGGAACAGATTTACATCTTGGTGTTGTAGTAACAGTCTATGGTTTTAGGTTAAAAGTTATGAACATTTTTGCAAGATAATCAGAGGAAATTTAAAACTCTGAACCTCTGAAGGTTCATCTGAAACCTGTTAATCCCTGACTATGAAGCCTGTGAAAGAAGCACACCTGTCTGTACTTTTAGCAGAAAACTTAACCTAATAAATTAATGAGCTGCAGGTACCCTAGTAATGGAATATCATCATACCTGAGAGGGATATGTAGATGAGTAGAAGTGAGACAGCTCCAGGTTTTACTGAAATGGGACGGAGGGGGTCCCATCCATCCCCATGACAGGAATTGGAGAGGGAACTGTGGGACCTGAGTGAGAGGTCAAAACAGAGTAGGTAGTTCCCGTGTCCAAAAGAAAAGTAATGGACTTACCCACTACCTGCAGTGTTACCCTAGGCTTGGACAGGACACTGGGAGTCACCAAGTCTGGACCGCATCAGTTCTCCGCCAGGCTGAGTAGTTTGAAGGCTGGCACAATCTCAGCTGCTGATGCTGGTGAGGCTCGGCCTCCATGGCGTGGCATACAAGACAAACCCACACGGGGGCATTCTGATTTCCAGTGTCCAGGCTGACAGCAGAAGGGGCATGGCCTCATGGGTGGTTGAGGGTCCAGAAATATCTTGCCAGATGACTATCCTGCCAGCGTTTGTAGCAGGATCCTGGAGGTGTTGACTTGGTTGAGCTCCAGTGGGATGGAACCTCTTGGTGGTCAGCTTCCCTTGTACCCCCTGTGGCCTCAGGGCAACTGCTAATGCTTAGAGGCTCAGAGCATGGCCTTATCTGTCAGGAGGACTCGGCTGCTTCTTTTTGGGCATTGAAAACTTTAAAAGCCATTTTCACCAACTTCTGTATGGGAGTTTGGGGACCCCTCCCCAGTGTTTGTAATTGGTTTCTAATATCTGGAGCTGACTGAGAAATGAAACGGGTGGCTAGGATGGTGGCTCCTGCTAGGGAAGCTAGGTCAAGTATAGGTCAATGTGTAGAGGGGGACAAGGAGATGACGTGGAAGGCTAGGGAGGGGTGGTAGGGGGAAGGGGAAAAGAGGAAGGTGGGTAAGGAGGAGGAAGTTGTTACTCTTGACCTTTATCTTGGAGGGGAAGGAAGGGGAAGAGGTGGATGGGGGAGGAATGAGAGGAATGTGGGCCACTGAATGCAACTGGTGGCCCTGGAGGAGCCGGTTGGGGGCAGGGGAGGGACCAGGGTCTCAGGCAGCAAGGTCAGGGCAGAATTTTCTGGGTACCAATTCCCAGATAGGTGGGAATCTGGAGGCACCATGACCCCTAGCCTGCAAGACCAGTACTGTGAGACACTGGCTACTGAGGGAAGGCTGGGAGCGCAGTATCCAGCAACTATAGACATACAGGGGTTCTGTTCACTTGTCCCCATGCTGGCAAAAAATTCAAGATCATGGAGGATGGTAAAATCAAAAGTTCCCTCTGATGGCCATGGCGTCCCATTGTCAAGGACATATTGAGGCCAGGCCTTAGTGCACAGAGAAATCAGGTGTTCAGAACATATGGTGTCAGACAGCTCCAACTTTAAAAAGATTTTGTAAAAGGCAGCCCAAGAGTGTTTGGTTTGAATGGCAGGTGACCATTTCACAAGTCTATGCTGGAACCCAAAGCCTAATGCAATGCATCCACTGTGGTAGCCTTGGGTCAAAAACAGGGGGTGAGAGAATCCCTTGAACAGAGCATCTTCTGAAGAAGGGTTCCCATTGGACAAGCAGGTCCTTGTCCCAGTAACAGGTTGGGGGACTGGCATGGCGACATCTTTGACAGGACACCTCGAAAATTGCAGGAGGCCCTGAGCCTCTAAGTCAATGTCTTAGAAAGGACAACTTACCCAGTCAAAAGCTGATCTTAGCATGACAGAGCAGGTATGAGGAAGAAGGGTATTTTCCCACCACGTAGCCCTGGGCCAGTGAGGGAAAAACATCCCCCTTGGTGGGACCTCCAGATGAAAAGTTTCTACACCCCCATAAGCCTTTCTGCCAATGCAGCAATCCAAATCACATCAAATCAAACTGAATTTTAAAAAGCCCACGTTTAATGGATACGGATACAGCACTCCCGTATGGCCTTCCAGTCTCCCAGAGTAGAGACGGGAAAGGGAGACCAGAAAAGCCAGAACTCTGGTTTCTGGGGGCAGTTTAAATACTCTGTGGAAGTGGTCTTGAGTATCTCTGGGGGAGGGGGTTCATCATTTGGTGGCTTTCTGAGAAGTAGCAGGCTTTGAAGGGAGAGAGGGGAGAAGGGCTTGGGTGGAAATTCCACCATAACAATGATAGACCTGTGAAGAATATACATTTTTGTTCATCTTTCTATAATCCAAAATTATTCATTATATAGTTTCTTAAATTATGACGATTTTTGATCACCCAAAAATACAGTCAAGAAAGAAAAATATTCAGGCTAACAAAGTGCTCTCTGTTGTGTTCTTCAACTTGGCTGAAAATCGCATAAATAGCTCTAAACTGTGATAATAACAACCAAATAACATTGCTGTCTTTGTGCATTTATATTTTTGCCAACAGCACATTTGCGTGCTTAACTTAGAAGGTGAATAAAAGCTGCTGCCTCCGAGGGCTTTAGGCAACTAAACAGAAAATGACTCTGGTTTTGAATAGAGTTGCTGTTGGCTTCAGGATTTAGGACTCTAAAAAGCAAGCAAACTCCTTATGTAACTCTTGTGGTCTTTCTCGAGTTCCCTGGGGATCCACTAGAGGCGTGCAAACAGGAGCGGCGCGCATACTGAGTTGCCTTGACGACGCGGGAGGAGCTTGGCCGAGGTCCCGCCCCCTAGTCCGGTTATGCCGTGACGCCCAAGCCAGCTGGGGAGGGGTGGATAGTGCAGTGCGCATGCGTCTTTCAGGGCGCGCTCCGGAAGTCACATGTGGGTGTGTTGAAACAGTTGCCAGGTTTCCTGTTGTCTTGTGAGTGAGTGAATTCAGGGGTTCTGGGTGATATAACGGGGGTTGTTTAGTTGCACATTCGGTTAACCCGCTGTGCTAAGCATCCTTCGGGGGGCGAGTGGTTCCAGGTACCGGTCCAGGTGCAGATCAGTTGTTTGGGAACGTGGATCCCCACGCATTAAAGTAGTGATGCTAGTGCGTGACCCTGGCAAGAAGTTTCCCAAGAAAGACTGTTAATTTCAGTAGTCGTCTCTCTAGGTTATTTACGAGTTCGAGGAGGAGACACCCAATATTCATGGAATGAAGGAGCTTTTGGTACAGGGCGTATACACAAAATTTTAAAATTGCCAAAGGGGATTACAAAACAGCAAGCAAGCTAGCTCCTCCCCATGGTCTGTATATTTTAAAATACTTTACCGTGATGAAGTTGGTGAAACTTTCTCAGATCTTTGTTGTTGCTTAGAGATTGTTTATGTAGCTCTTGCTGTCCCGAAATAATTTATGTAAATCATGCTGCCCTCGAACTCACAGAGATTCACCTGCTTTTGACTCTTAGCGCTAAGATTAAAAGCGTGAGCCACTATGCCTGGCTACAGATCTTAAAACTAGCTTTTAGAAGTAAAAACGTCTAAAAACTAGCTTTTAATGCCAAGGATAAGTAAAGAGTAGTTCTTTTTCAACCCCAGAGAAGCTTGCTGTGTGTTTATAATTTCAGTAAACCTGTAAAGTCGTATGTTCTTCTAACACCTGCACCCCAACACCGAAATTAGCTTATTAAAGAAAGCAAAACCAAAATTATGTCAAAGATAGTTAAGGAAAATTATGGGCTATATTTTGGATAAAATGTTGCTCTTTGTGTCCTCAGCAGCAAGTATCAACTTGAATTTTCTATTTCTATTTGAATTTTCTGTGGACATCATTGTGAAGCAGAATTGTTGCCAATTCAATAAAGGAATCCAAAGGGGTCCTGGAAGTTGAGTCACTGGATAAATTGCAGAACCTAGATTTTAGATCTCTACAGCCAAGATGTAATTATAGCAAGATGTACATCCAGGTAAGTTTGTTAACTCAGAATGCATTTTCCTCCTAAAAACTATACACCTGTTTTACATTTAGTATCTTTGTGAGAGTGCCTAAAATAGGTTTTTATTTTTGCCGTTACATCTGAGATTGAATATTTTGATGTTAATTTGTGATTTTCCTGCTTTCACTTACTTAGCAAATATTTGTTTTGTGGTGCATTAGAATATGTTTCTAAGGTATAAAGATAAATCATAATAAAGGTGATCTTTAACTTTAATTAGTATGTGAACATAAGAAAATTTTTGTTTCTGATGGTTAGATTATGAGTGAGCTGGGACTTTCTGGGTAACTATTTTACTTTCTTTGGGATGATGAGAAAAGTCATATGTGTGCTAAGGAATTTGAATACTACAGTAGTGATATGGATGTCTCACACCAGATAGTAGCAATAGAAAGACATCACTCACTTTGGGTTTAAGTCACTCTGCCTCCTGCACAAAGAATATATAGCATAATTATGATATAGCAAGTGTAGTAGAAGAAAACCCAATTAGTCAGTAGCGGTAGTGCAGGTAAGAGTTGATAACTGATTTTCATTAGTGATAGAAGGGACAATGGGAACAGTGGGTAGAAAAGAAAATAGTAATTTAATGCTAGTAACAACAAACCAGCATTTATTGAGTGTTTTCTCTATGCTTGGTGGCGTCTTAGGTATTGTGTGCATTAACTCATTTAATTATCACAAAACTATGATGTCAGTGCTTTATACCTTACCTATATGTTTGTAGATACTGTGTTTTAGAAGGGTTTAGTGATCCCCCCCCCCTCCGTCAGCTAGCTAATAAGAGGTAGAGGTGACATTTAAATCTGGATAGTTTGTTTCAGACTTGAGGAAAAAAATCAAGTGTTAAAAGGCCTTGGAGAACAATTAGACTACAGTGGCACTGAGTTCAGGAAGCTTAGCTGTCTGTAATTACTAGCCGTTCTTCGAAAGATGAGAGGAGATTCACATTTAAGCCTTGAGTTTGAGTGTGAATATGTTGATGAGGTCTTTGGTGTGGGACCATCTTGACCTCCCCCTAACTGTGGGCTTGGGCTTTGCTCCTCTGCCCCTTTCCAAATAGTAATAGAAGGTGGGTTTTGTTTTGTGTCTTTCTGTTGTTCTCTTTTCCAGCCACACTGGGTTTTCACCAAATACTCAGGCTTGTTTCTCTACTTTTCACATTTGTTCTGAATGACTAATCCCCCGTGGTTAGCAGCTCCCAGGTGCCCTGTATTTTTGTAAAGCTATTTCTTTTCTGGTCTTTTTTTTTTTTTCTTTTCTTTTCTTTTTTTTTTTTTCTTTTCTTTTCTTTTTTTTTTTTTCTTTTCTTTTCTTTTTTTTTTTTTCTTTTTGGTTACCTCCGACCGGGGTTCTCTGTGTAGCTTTGGAGCCTATTCTGGCACTCGCTCTGGAGACCACGCAGGCCTCGAACTCACAGAGATCCGCCTGCCTCTGCCTTCCAAACTGGGATTAAAGGCGTGTGCCACCAACACGTAGCATAAAGCCATTTCTTGGTCCCAACAACCCAGTAAAAGTGTTGTGTAAATTTTCTGTCAGCCACTAGAGTGTCTGCCTTTTGCATTAGACGAAGCATGTCTCACTAAAGAATCTGTTTCCTGCACTCTCTGTGCAAGGACCTCCTTTAGTGGGAAAGTTTTGAAAATTTTAAGGTTGTCCAGCTATTTGCTATTCTTTTTTTTTTTTTTTTTTCGTTCAGCTTAGGAACAAGCTTGCTTCACATGTCAATCCCTTCTCCCTCTCCCTTCCCTCCCCTCAACCCCTCACCAGCTCCCTCCCCCCTCTGCTCCCATGGAGGGTAGGTCCCTCCACAGGGGCTTCCCAGATTCCACAACATCATCCTGGGCCAGGCCTAGGCCCTCCCCATGTGCTATTTGCTATTCTTATTCTTTCTGAATCATGAATTGCCTATGCCCTTAGTTGATGATGACATATACATACATACATTCATACATACATACATACATACATACATACATGTTTAAATTAGAAACAATATTATTTTACATATAACCCCAGTTCCCTCTCCCTCCCATCCTCTTTTCCCATCCACTTCTCAGGGAGGGTGAGACCTTCCATGCAGGATCATCAAAGGAAGACTTTTTTTTTTCTTTTTTTTTTTTTTTTTTTTGAGACAGTGTCTCTGTGTATAGCTGTTGGAACATGCCCCGGAGCTGCCTGCCACTCCCTGGGACCAAAGGTATGCACCACAACATCTGGTTTATGGGGTCTCTTTGAGGAATACAGTTGTCATGGTTTCTGTCTTATCAGTAAAGTTGAAGCCTTTCTGCTAATTATGTTAAAGTCTAGAATGTAATGTGGGAGAGTATTGTTGTAGCATTGACTTTTAAACCTTTTTCAGTAAATCCTGCAGATACCCATGTCAAAGTTGACAAAAGAGTCCATGGTGTATGTGTGAGAGAGATTTAAATATGAGAATCAAACGAAATTATGAAAAGTATGGTGATGAAGCACTATTTTTTCCGTATTTTTGACTAGATTTTTTTTTTTTCTTTTTAAGTTGACAGACTGGAGCAGAGACTAAATTGTCCTTGTTTCTTAGTGTATTGACTTGGCCTCATCCTTGTTTATGAGTTTTTCATTTTACATTTGGAATTTTCTTCTTTCTTAAATTACCATGGGTTTCTCAAATCAAGCATTATTTTATTTTGTTAAGGGATAGTATTAGGGGATGAAATAAAGCTTGGAGAAACTGATTAGCTTCACTGTTTTTCTGTATCCTAAGTAAGGATTAAGAAATCAAATTATGAACTATATGCATTTTGAGGTCCTCATATTTTTCTCAAGTGACTTAATATGTACTTGACCGTGACATATTGACTTCCTGAATGGATGGTTCAAATGTAATCCAGAGAAAGCTACTCTAAAGATTAATGAAGGGAATAGACTAGCATTATAACCTGGAACATGGCATAGTAAAGTGTGTGTATATTTAAGAGGACTGGAGCAGTGCACGGTTTTAAAGGTAATGAACAAGCTTTCTGAAGATGGCCGTAGTCCTCAGCCATAGTTATTAACAGCACAGCTGTCACCCATCCAGACTTGCACAGATGACATGTGTGTGTGTGTGTGTGTGTGTGTGTGTGTGTGTGTGCTTGCACAAACCTGCAGGGGTTAGGCTGTAGCAGAGACATTTGTAGTAGTAACTCCCTGGTAAGAACCCATCTTTAGAACCTCACAAGTGGCTTTATATGTTTTGTTAGTATTCTGAAAACTTTCTCAAAGATAAAAACATTTGAATGCTTTACATTCTATTCTAACTTTTGCATATATATTGGTAAATCCAGTCTTTTTTACTAACATTTTTCCTCTCCATTCCAGGGGAAACTCTTATTTCTTTAACATTTGGAAATAACGCATCTATTTTGAAGATTAGACCTTAAGGTATGAGGTGTACATGACTTCATTTCTGCTTAGCTTTATTTGATCTCTAGAAGTAGTAACTTCTTAGATGTGTGTTTCAGGGGGGCACACACATATGTGAGTGATTTTAATAGCTAATGCATTCATCATAGTGTAGACAATGTCCATATAAGGTAAAGCTGCTTTTGCTTTTGCTAAATCTTTGCTGCAGTGTCCTCTCATTTCATTAACAAGGTCCTTTTAAAAGGACCTTGAAGATGGCACAAGATGCCCCAAGACTAAGTTTTCAACACAAAGGACATTCATCTGCCCTAGAGGGACAAAGGGCAGGGAATAAGAGACAAGAGTAGGAGATAGAGGAAGAGCAGAAGTGGGAAAAGGGGGCAAAGGAGAGAGGGAAGGGATAATTGCTCTGAGGAACAAAAGACTGCCTCTGGATAGAGAGGAGACAGACTTTAGGCAAATGGCAGTTTATAAAGGGAAAAGAGAAACCCTGCATTAGGATGAGTTGGTTTGTGGTTTGTTTTGATTGGGCATGTTAATTAGGATGGTGGGGATAGGGACTTTTGATTGCTGGACTTAAATACTTTGATAGCTAGACCTTGGTAGTCAACCTTAGCAGGAGGAAATGACCAGTAAGGGAATGTACCTTGGTGGCTAGCTTTAGGATTGTAATCTAATGGTTTAGCCAGGCAGAGAAATGAGAGAGAAGGGTGAAAGGTAAAACCCATTGGGATCATGCTTGCCTTGCTTGGCTTGCTAGAGCCCTTCACCTTTCTCTCACATTTAGGCTGTTGAAGTAGCTAACTGCCCTTTCTGTTTGTACTTTAACTAACATGACTTAATCACTTTGTTAAAAGTTTGACTTCAACATATAACTTTTTATATAGGTGTCTTCATGTAGGGAAAATTCTCTTTATTATTGCTATAGTAGTCCTGACAAGCTAGGAAGAGTACCAGGCATTTAGATGCTACCAGTCCATCTCTTTTAAAGCCTGTAATTGCTTTAGATGGTCTGGAGCCGTGAATGGGAGCCAGACTATGAACTACAACTATTAAAACCACCAGTGGAATAGACATTTATTAGCATTGGGCATGCAGTGGTGACTGATTGCTTCCTGTTGTTTATGCCATGTAGGAGAGAAGAAATGAAATAAATGGTTATAAAAAATAACATAGGATATTGCTGGGGGCAGCCCTGGTAGTTGACTGGTTCCAGAGAGGATACAAGGAGTAGGTGAGGGAAGGATTGAGCCAGGCCGTGGATATTGGGGAAATCTCTCAGGCTGACTCATTGGCAGTCAGAACACTTCCTTATTTATATAGAATTCGGTAATCAGTGATAGTTTCATGTTCTAAAACATAGATCATATCATTTCTGTCTCTGGACACTTGTTTAACTTCCCCTTACATATCTAAGTTTAGTCATTAATAAGCCATGTTAGAGCAGAGTTATCTTTTTTTTTTCTTTATTCTCTCATCTCCCCACGTGTTCCTCCTGTTCTATTCCCTCCTTCCCCAACTCCACCCATAAAATCTCCCAGGGAGATCCTGTGTCTCCCCAGTCCTTCCTTTTATGCCCAACCTCTTGGGGGTCAATGGATTATAGCATGGTTATCAGTTAATGTCTAATATCTATAATATCCATCTACCTATCATCTGTCTGTCTATCCCATGTTTGTCTTTGAACAGAATGATCTTAACAGTCATTCTCCCTCATCAACCCCATAACCCGACTTCTGGCAGCTCTTGTGGCTTCAAGGATGCTAGACAGAAAAGAAAACCTCTAAGCCAGCCCAGGCAGATGGCCATGTCCCAAGCACTGTATTAATAACCCTTAGTGGTCAGAGTGTCTGCCAATTGTCGGTAGGCCCAAGCAAAATCCTCAGGCCAACACTTGCCACAGTTATTATTCACTTTCTGGCATATTTTTACATTCCTGGCAATGTTTACATTTCATATCTTTAGAGAATTTATATCTCTAATCCCGGCATTCTTTCGCTTATTGGCTATATGACATCATAATGGCTCTGTGGGCACTAACTTTTCTAAGAAAGGGAGTTCCTGATACCTCATTCTTTCTACACCATTCTTTGCCCATCAGGATAAGCCCTTTGCAGGGCAGAGGTAACTTCAGTCAATCTAACTTTGTTGCTATATATGTCACTTATAATTGGAAGAAGCTTGCACTTTGTTTTGATTATATTGTTCCTGAATAAGTTCAGGGGTAGATGTTTCAAGACTATTTCAGAGCCTCATGAAGAGATCTCTCAACTGCTTTATGTGCATCACAACCCCCAAGGTGTAAGGAAGACCTTCAAGTAGATAAGGTTATCTCTTAAAAGTGGGAGGGGTAGTATGCTCAGGACTTTCCTGAGGAAGCTATGAAGCAGTACTCCTAGAAGAAGACATAAATGATTCATAAGAAATTTCCCATCAATCCAGCATCCCCAAATGGTGTAAATATTAAAAGCCCCCCAAGCATGCAGACTGTGGAGAACAAAACCAAAAGTGGCACTGCTTTGCTGGATCTTTGTCACACTGCTGTGCTGGCTTTATAACTTTAGTCATTCCCATCAGATATGGCTGTGCTGGGATATGAGTGTAGTCTTGATAAAAACAAGTTTGAGTACTGTAAAGACATATTCAAAATAAATTTTCTGAAGAAATCTAATGTATCTACGCTATTCATCAAGTAAGAAGGGTTAATAGAAGATTGAAATGTGTCTGTTTTGGGATTTCTGGTAGTTAGGTTTGGTAAATGACTATTAAGTAGACTATAAAGTTCAGGCAGGCTGGGCATTGGTGGCGCATGCCTTTAATTCCAGCACTCGGGAAGCAGAGGCAGGTGGAACTCTGTGAGTTCGAGGCCAGCCTGGTCTACAGAGCGAGTTCCAGGACAGGCTCCAAAGCAATACAGAGAAACCCTGTCTCCCAAAACCAAAAAAAAAAAAAAAAAAAAAAAAAAAGTTCAGGCAGGGCAGCAAGTAAATGGATGATTGTGGACTTCGTGTTTGAAATCTCAGAAACTATTTGTTAATTAAGAAAACAAATACAAATAAGTATAGTGTAACATAGGACAAACACTGGTATTTCAGACCATCTGGGTTTATTTCTTAAGCCATTTTTATCAGACATACCATGCCTATGGGAAAATGAACAAGTTATAAGGACTTTTACAAAGGAAACACTAACTTGTAATTAGTATCTAATCCAGAAAAGTTATTATGAGGACAGCTCTTCTAGTCCTGCGCTCCCCAGGATGATGATGTCCTTGCAGTCCTTAGACCAGGTTTGTTTTCCTTTACTTTTCATAGCATCACATTTCGCACAGGCACAGCATAAATACAGATGGGTGACAGGCCCCTTCCTGGATCTCGAAAAAGCTAACCATAATGACTAGAGAGTACTGGAAGTGGGCATCAGGCCCAGTGCACACATGACTTCTACATGGTACATATTAAAAGTGGAAAGAGACTGAAGCCCAGAAATTTTATAGATGCCTTAAGTATTTGTTACTAAAACCGGATCAATAAAGTTAAAAATATAATGCAACAGATAAAAGCCTGGCCATTTCTGTTTATGGAAGACAAGAATTAAAGGAAAATGAAATAAAATGATAATAAGGATAATGACCTTATTAGAGCTAAGAACAAAACTGAATGGGGAGTTCCTATTTGTATTGGTGTAAAAATAGAGTTCTTATGTTGATGTTGTAGATAAATTCTTAGGTCTGACCTGCTGGATACTAATATATGTGTTAGAGATTTTACACTACTGGTAAACCCTGTCTCAGTGTGTTCTCTACTCTAGATTTAGTTTCATTTAAATTCTGTTTTTATTACTGCTATGTCATCTGCTGCTTTATTATATGTACTCACTGCTCATTTACATAAGTGGCGATGATTTTGGAAGTCTCACTAATTACAATTGTCTAAGCAATGTAGTTAGTGCTTTTCCGACCCATGTAGGGAGCATTACAGCCATCTGTGGCTCTCCTGTATCTGTAAGTGATGGAGGTTCTTGAGGAAGGTTGTAGCCTGACTCGTATTCAGTAAGCATTAACCAAGCTTAGGTTAACCAGGCTCTACTTTATAGCTGTGCCTGTTCTTTATTAAAACATGCTATGAATATGCACTTGTGATGTTCTGAGGTAGACACACTGACTGATTTATGGAAAATAATTTTCTCACATTGGGCACCATTGCAAAGTCTGTATTTGTACTTTTGTCAGTAGCAAGCAGAGGTAATAAGCACTGCATAATTTTGATAGCTTTTAAAGATTTTCAACTAACTGTTTATGTAAGTGTAAGCAGGTTTTTTTTTTCTTTTTTTACTTTGCTCTCTTGTCATGTTTTGGTTTTAAGGGGCAAAATCATTGGATAAAACACTGTTTCTGTAAGTCTGGGTGAACTGCTTAGTCAAACTGGATTCTTAAATTGCATGTGGAATATGAAATGTTCACATTGAATTGAATTTGCCAAAATAAACTAACAATAGATGAATAAGTAGGAAATAAAAATGTTAATAGTGCTCACAAGCCATAGAAAACAAGTAGAAGAAGGAGTGGAGTTCAGGCTATTTGAATACCCTCTTCTCCCCTTCAGAATTGTTTACTACTCCAATAAAATTAAAAAGAAAACAGTGTTCACCTAAGCAGTAGATAACACAGAGATCCTCTGTGCTTGAGTGTGACAAGCACCCCCTGCTTCCTCTGTGCTATGTCTGAACTTGTTTAATGAAGTTACCTTAACTGGCTTTCGGTCTTCGGCCCGTCTGGTCTCTAATTAGGCTAGACAAAGTCCTCTGCTGCTCCCTGGATGCTCTCAGTTTGAGATCCAAAGCTGAATGTGTGATAGCAGCATTTTCTAGGTCCCTAACGATTGAACCAAATAAATAAATAAATAAATAAATAAATAAATAAATAAATAAACTGGGTTCCTGCTTTTAGAAGGACTCCATATAGAAATGAGTCTCTTTTAAACATGTAGTCATGTATCTCAGTGACAGAGAAATGCATTGTGGGTGATTCAGACACTGAGTGAACCTTGTAGTGTGTGCTTAACAAAGCTGCTGAGTGTTCAGCTGTGTGTCCACCATCCTATATATAGTCCCTTGTCTGAAATCCCCTTTCAGTATATTTATTGAGGCTGATAAAAGCATGGACATCCAGATCTCAGGCCACTGTTTGCAGTTATTTCTACTTCCAGGTTCTTTTGGTAGAAACGGAAGTTCATTTTAAATAAAACAGTTGATGCTTTTAGGGAAAATGGATTTTTCTCTCACTTTATTCTTTGTGAACATGATTATTTCCTTCTTCCTTTTCACTCCCTTCCCTACCACAGTTATAAACTACCTCTGTGATAAAGGCTTCCACGAGACTCAGGTCAACTTGACAGTTTTAGTATCCCCACGACCCTATATGGCTTGAGGTAGCTTTCTTCAATAATAAAGATGGTCAAATTTGTAGTTGAAGTGATTGTTACTTGGGAAAGGTTTGGGTGTGGTTCTGTGCAGGGGGAAATTTGGGTATCACCTCCTGTTTTCTACCTCTTAGAACTTTTAAATAATGTATATGTATGTGTCCAAGTGGGGGGGGGGTATCGGTCCTTGGGGCTGTAGTCACAGGTAGCATACAATAAGCCTTTTCTGTTTTGCTTTCAGGGTTTTGGTAAATCAATAAGGGGATTTTCCCACAGAAACAATGTCTTCGGTAAGGTGATGTTTAATTTTATTTAGGATACACAGGGTGCACACACATTGGATGTACTTTATAGCTTGATTTTAAATTAGCTTACTTTATAATTGAAATTTAGTATAGTGTCAAAACAATGGAATACTGACTGATACCTTCACTTTTTCATATGATGAAGTCGTATTACAGTTCTCTATTTACCTAGTAATTGTTTTGTTGCCTGCAGTATCTACAAATATCTCCACATAAGCTGTATGTACATACATACTTTATGAAGATATTATAGTTTTTACTGGTTTAAACCACAGGCAAATTCTTTTTGTTTGTTTTTTTGTCAGCTTGTATTATATTAGGTTTTTATGTGCTGAATTGTGACTTACTAGATTGTATCAATGAAAATCTTTATACTTTTGATACATTTTTAAACCAATTTTTCATTGTTTTATAAAAGTTTGGTGCCTGAAGCAGCAGTAGAAAGGCTCCCATATACACAGCTGAGTGGACTTGAAAGAAGGCCATGTGTTTGTTATAAATATAAATAATACCTGCATTTGTTATCTATATTTCTGTGTATGTGTATGTGCCTGCTTGAGTTTATGGGCACCACTATCATGCAGGTGCCCATGGTGGCCAGAAGGCCTTGGAGCTCCTGGAACTGGAATAATAGAATTATTGTGATCTACTCAATATGGGTGCTAGAAACCAAGCCTGAGTCCTCTGCAAGGAAGAGAGGTCTTTTACCACTTTGTGTAAATGTGGATAACAAGAACTGATGGCCAGGTGTCTTTCTGTCTCACTGTCCACCATATATCCCGAGGCATGGTATCTCATCAGACCCAGAGATTGCTAACTCTAGTCGAGCTAGCCAGTTTGCTCCCTGGGTCCTCTGTCTCTGCTGCCAGAGCAGTGTGATTATAGGAGAGCTGCAAACCTGCCCAGCACTGACCTGAGTGCTTTACGCCTCACACGTGGGTGGCAGTGCTTTACCTGCTGACCAGCTTCCCAGCCCTGCTAGGTCGATTTTCACTTTGTAGGCATAGATTGTCATGACTATGCAGAAACATCCATTTATTAATTTCTGTTGCAGAGTAACTTAGCCATATAAATAGTGACTAATTTCAATTGAATGCCTAAGTACGAATTTCAAAGTGGTTTACTGTTTATTTGGTTGGTTGGGTTTTTGAGTGAGCAGTTAGGTGGATAGTACCAGCTTCCCATTCATCTCAGGGTCGGGGACATGCTCATTAAGGTAGAGTATGGGTCTGTTTTAAGAGCTGAGGCACAGATCTTTTGTGTTTCTTTTACTAAGCCTTGCTCCATCATAACCGAGCTTCAGGTCCTGGGCAGCACAGAGATCTGGTAGCCCCTCTGGGTGTCCAGAGACGAAATCACACTTATTTTTATTTTTTGTACTTTCTTGTTAAAGAAATATAATTAATGTTTATACTTTTATTGACTGGTGTGCTGCCTTCTGTTTAAGAGCAGAATTGTTTCAAGAAAACTAGTTAGTAACTGTGGTACCCTTATGAAACTGTGCATTATTGTCCCTAGTCACACCCCGGAAGTCATTTTCTTTAAATCTCTTAAAATGAAATGGCACAAGCTTAATAATTCACAGTGTGACCACAAGACTGTAAAATGTGAATACCGGCTGGTAAATTTGCTATCTTTTCTTTCTTTAGGGCCCAGTAGCACCTTATACGTACACACCCCTGAATCTACTCAAGAATGGCACAGTTGTCAATGTCTGTGGTGTTGTGAAGTTCTTTAAGCCTCCGTACCTAAGCAAAGGAACCGGTAGGCATCTGAGTGGGGGATATTTTATGGACGAGCTCTGCATTGTTAGTCTCAGGGCAACAACTCCTTCAGTAACCTGAATCTCAGAACGATGTCAATCCTGATTTTCAGTTGCCTAATGAAACTGATGTGTGTTCTTTGTCCATTTTAATTAATGAAGTAAATGTGGTCTTTGGATTCTAGAGTCTTGTTTAACACAATACGAGTACAATTTCTAAGTGACATGAGAACATACAGAAGTATAAAATTTTTTGATGAAGGTAAATATGCTACCAAATACTGAACATTCCAGTAATGTAATGATCGCTCATCAGTCACTCTCAAATCTGACACAGAAATGAAAAGTAAATAGAAAAAAATCGGTAATTACAGCATATGTGTAGGCTATGTTAAGATGCTAGGTGTGCTGGGAGGGGAAGTGAAAAAGTGTTTTTATGTAGATAAGAATAGATTACTGTTATTATAAAGTGTATTACTTGAGCCCCATGTTAACTACAAATACCTGTGAGAAACATACACACAATATTAAAAAAAAAAATCAGATTGTCATGATGGAAGCTCAATGTAGACAGTATAGAAGAAATTATCCCAACTTCGCCTCACCTCGACATACGAATCTCACAGCATCTTTAGTACTAGTCAGCAAAAAGGGCAGTTTGTCAGGCGTGGCCAGTGTTTTGCTGCTGTATTTACCTTGGGGCAACTCTTAGCCAAAATGGTTGAGGGAGGGCTGGGTGTAAACAATGACAGATAATTGGGCAAGAAGAAACTAAATTATGTTTCTAAAGAATGTGATTTTATAAGTAGAAAACCCTAAATACCATGCCAAACAATGCCATTGAGAACTAATAAAAGAATCCACCAATATTCAAACTTAGTATTATATAAATTGCATTTCTGCATATCGGTGAGGAACAGTTTCAGAGGGTAACAAAGCACTATGATTTAGAATAACATCAGTCCTATAGTGTATGTAGGAATGAACTTATTCAAGGAAATCAAGGCTTGTGCTCTGAACAGTACAGAATATTTCTGGGGTTAGTTAGAGGTGACACAAGCAAGTGAAATAATGTCCTATGCCCATTGATAGCAAGACTCAGTAGTCAAAAAAAAAAAAAAAATCCCAGAGGCTCTTTTTCTTTTTTCCTAATAAGAAAAAAAAGAATCAATCTTCAAATATATATAGGAATGAACTTGAGTGGGCTGAAAAAGCAAGGGATCTCATATTCTTACTTTACCAATGTACAATACATTGATTTCTCTCTCTCTCTCTCTCTTTTTTTTTTTTTTTTTTTTTTTTTTTGGTTTTTCGAGACAGGGTTTCTCTGTGGTTTTGGAGGCTGTCCTGGAACTAGCTCTTGTAGACCAGGCTGGTCTCAAACTCACAGAGATCCTCCTGCCTCTGCCTCCCGAGTGCTGGGATTAAAGGCATGCACCACCAACGCCCAGCAAGAAGGGTTGCCATGGCCACGGTGTCTCTTAACAGCAATAAAAACTAAGACAGGGATGGTAATGCCATATGGGAAGAATAATTGCCAAATGTGTTTAGTGTTTTAGCTACAGGTTTCCGTATATGTAGTCTTCACCCCGTATTCACTGGTGTTCATGGTGCTGGAAGGTACTTTGCATGCAGTAAGAGGAGAAAGGTAAACAAAGCCCTTGATCTGCAGCGATGGCTTGTCTGCATGATATTCTGGAACAATAGTTGTGGGAGTAACCAATCACTGTCTGGTTAGGTTTAAGGCCTACTCCATGAGATGGAACCCAGGACTGACAGTCCTCAGGTGGCCAAAAACTTGAGACTCGATGGGCCATGGAGTAGTTTGGAGAAAACTACTGTTATGCTAACAGAATATAGCAATAGCATGATCCCTGTTAACTCATAGGGGTCTGCTGTACTCACAGATCAGTGTCTTGCTCAGCCATCATCAGAGAAGCTTCCTCCTGCAACAGATGAGACCCAAAACAGAGATCCACAGCCAGACAATACACAGAGTTCTTGGAACACTTAGCTCTAAATGGGATGTCTCCATCAAATTCTTCCCCTTTGGGCCCTGAGAACCCTGTGGAAAAGGAGACAGAAAGAATGCAAGGAAACCCGGCCTTCCAGACATAAGGACTGATGAACACATAAATTCACAGAGACTGTGGCAGCATGCACAGGACCTGCACAGGTCTAGGCCAGATGGGCTCCCAGTGATGAGAGGGAAAATGAACACAAGCTCCCATCTCTAACAGAAGCTATCTCCAATTGACAACTACTCATTAAAAAAAAAAAAAAAAAAAAAAGATTAGGTTTCTCCAGCAGAGTGAGTATCACTGTTTATATAAACTACAGTTAAGGCAATAGATGGCAAATGGTATTTTAGGAGGTTTTTTGGGATTTTTTTTTTTGGACTCAATGCTTTGTCTGTTGTTTATTTGTTTTGTTTTCTTACAGGTTTATATATTATGCTTTCTGATTTTGTTTTTTTATGGTATTTCTGTGCTTCTCTGTGTTTCTTGTGCTTTTTCTTTAGCCCTTTTTTCTTAAGTTTTGTTCTGTTCTGCTTTTGATTTTGTTGTCTGTTTTCTAATGTGATAGGGAAAGAAAGGGTGTGGATTTGGGTGGGGAGGATCTGAGAGGAGTTGAGGAAAGGGAAAACATCAGAATATATTGTTCAAAAAATACTTCCAATTTCAGAATTAGTTAAAGAATTAACTTTTATAAAAAAAATAACATACAAAAAGAGAAGTGATAAATGATGTTTGTGTTCACTTTAGTACTGAAAAATTCATGTTGCTGGATGCATGTTATTTTTTAATCTGGGAAATTACCACCCTCTGTGGGTTGGTTTATGTATTTTTGCCACAAATCTAGATATATCTGGAAAGAGAGTAGTCGTAATCGGGAACATGACTCCCATCAGATTGGCAAGTCTGTGGGTGTTTTCTTGATTGAAGATTGATTTGGGGAACTCAGCCCTATGTGGGTGGTGGCAGGTGGTCCTGGGTGCATAAGAAAGGATGCTTGAAGAAGCCATGGGGAACAAGCCTGTAAGTGCCATTCACCCATGGCCTTGATATCAGTTCCTGCCTCCAGTTCCCACCCAGACTTCCCTCAGTGATAAACTGTGATATGGAAGTGTAAGCTGAAATAAACTCTTCCTCCCCAAATGGCTTTTGGCCATAGTGTTTCATCGAAGCAATAGAAGCTCCAACTAACACCTTTCCTACCCTGATTGTACATTTGATTTCTTGAGATGCAACAGGTGGATCTTAAGTATGGCAATGTAGGTACACGGCCTCCAGATGCCAGTATTTTCAGAAGAGGAATATTTTAGATCAGATTTTTAAAAATTAATTAATTTTTTAAATTTGTTCAAATTAGGAACGAGCTTGCTTTGCATGTCAATCCCTTCTCCTTCTCCTTCTCCCTCTCCCTCCCCCCAACCCTCTTCCCCAACCACCCCAACATCCCCCCACCCCATCCACCCTCCACTCCCCAGGCAGGGG